GCCGGGCCCCCCCGGCTGCCTCTCCCCCAGGCCTGCCTCCCAGAACCACCCCTTCCCCAGGCCTGGGCCCCTGCCTGGCCCCCACGGATGCCCCTTCCCCAGGCCTGGGCCCCTGCCTAGTTCCCATGGCTGCCTTATCCCAGCCCGGAGCCCAAAGGATTCCACCAGCTGTCCTCTGGGCATGGGGGCTCTGGGCCTGCTCCAGCTTCCTTGCCTACCCCTTCCTGCTCCGGGCTCTCTGCACCCAAATCTCACCCCTCCCAGCCCCGTCTTCGAGCTGCGCCCCCTCCCCCCGCCTGGACTGCCCCCACCCCCGCCTGGCTTAGCTGGGCTTTGACTGCATAGAGACTTAGCCAGGGGCGCTTTCCTTCCCATGAGTCTTCTCAGCTCTGCCCCATGCTCCCAGTGGGGCAGATGACAGAGTCCAAGGGGGACCCCAGAGTGCAGGACAGGACCTGGAGGTACTGCCATAGCGCTGTGGCGGGGCCAGGAGCTGGCCTGGTATGAGGCTGAGGGTTAGGGTTGCCAAGTGTCCGGTTTTTGCCCAGACTGTCCGTTATTCGGGTCCCCGTCCGGTAAAAAAACCCAGAAAAGTGAAATGTCCGGTATTTCCTGTTTACCTGGGATGGAAGCTGCCTCTGGCGGGTGTGGGCGAGGAGGGAGTGAGGAGTGCAGGGCCATTTAAAGGCGCTGCACCTTTTTTTTTTTTTTGCTCAACAACTTTGGTCTCCCCCCTTTTTTTCTCAACAGCATTTTTTCAAGGTGGGTTTTTTTGCGGGGAGGGGGAGGTTGGTATTTTTTGTTAAGCCATCTGGCAACACTACTGGCGGCAGCTCTGGGGGAGGTGGAAATGGTGCTGCCCAGTCTTTGCATTAGTCCAGGGGTTTTCAAACTTTTTTTCTCTTGACCCAGTTGAAGAAAATGGTTGGTGCCTGCAATCCAATATCATGTGACTAGAGTGTGGGCTCCGGAGGTGGGGTTGAGGATGGGAGCTTTGGGCTGTAGGAGGGGGCACTGGACTTGGGGGATCAGGGCTGGGGCAAGAGATCACCTTGAGCAGCTCCTGGTCGGTGGTGCTGGGCGGGGGAGGGGGCTAAAGCAGCTTCCTGCCTCTCCGGGCACCGCAGACCATGCTGCCCCCAAAGCAGCCGGCGGCGGGTTCCCAGCCAATGGGAGTGGGGAGCTAGTGCTCGGGGCAGGGGCAGTGCGTGGAGCCCTGTGCACATTTCACCCCCTCCCCCTCCCAACACCTAGGAGCTGGGCTTGCTGCCAGCCACTTCTGGGGCGCAGTGCAGTCTGCGGTGCCAGGCCTTAGCACCCCCACTGGTCGCCTGATCCCCTTGCAGCAAAGAGACCCAGCGCCCGACATTCACCACCCAGCACTGGGACATGACCCGTCGCTTGAAACCCTGCGTTAGTGTAACCCCACCTGGGCTGTGGCTTGGCTGACACAGGGACATGAGGGTAACAGGCCCCTTACAAAGTCTCAGGGCATGTTCCTCTGGACGGTGGGTGCTGGGGGGCCTAGGGCATGGTCATCAGCATCTCTGTATCATTTAGGGGACCTTGTGAGGGAAGGGGGTGCAGCCCTGAGCCTACAGGCCAGGACTCTGGTGCCAGGGAGAGCAAAGGGGGTGCTGGGAGCAGATCCCTCCCCGGCAGAGCTAGAATTCCCCTTCTGTCCTCACTAGCGGCACCATCTCCATTCCAGGTGATGCCAAGAGCAGCCCCTGAGCCCTGACTGGGTCACTGGGGCGACCCGCCAGCTGCGCAGACATCCCTCCGGGCCTCCAGCCGCACAGAGCCAGCGCCAGGCCCCCAGCTTGCGTGACGTCCCCAGTCTGGGGCACGACTGTTTCCACCTCTCCCGAAGCCAGCCGTGCTGTGAGAGCAGGTGGGCTAGAGACGCAGCCCCAGACGGACGTGGGGCTTGCCCGGCTCCTTGCCCAGCGCGTGCAGAGGGGGGCTGGCGAGGTCGGCGCACGGCACGCGCTGTGTCGCGGGCCAGCGGGTGAGCACAGCAAGGCGGCTGCCTCCAAGTTCCCAGCCGTGTGCACGACTCCAGCGCTGCAAGCCAAGGAGGAAGCCGGGGGAGGCAGGAAGCCTTCCCAAGGGTTCGCGCTGTGTCCCGGTGCCTTTCCTCCGAGGTCCAGCAGCACAACAGGAAGCCTGGCTGCGGTCACTCGGCAGCGGGAGCGACCCTGAGAGCCGTGTGGCGTCACTCCGGGGCTCTCCCGTCGCCTCCTCTGCGTCAGGTCCTTGTGCCCTGCCAGGAGCCTGGGCTAACGCTGCCCTAAATGGAAGCCGGTCGGGAGCAGGGGAGCAGCCGCTGGCCCTGGGGTAGAAGATGTAGTGCGGAGACGGCCAGCCTAGCATGGAGCTGAACAGTGAGTGCTGGGGACCCCCAGGCTGGGCTTGGGGAAGGGGGTGGAGGAGGCTCACACCTGGGCAGGGAGTGGGGTAGAGAGAGACAGAGCTCTGGGGGTGGGAGGGCTGTTAAGTCCGGGGCAGGACTGGTCCTGGCAGTCTCATCTCCAGGGCTGCTGGGATGAGGCCGCAGCCCCTGCTCTCCTCTCCCCATGGGGACGTGGGGCTCAGAGCTGTTGGCCGGGCACCTCCCAGACCTGTAGTGTCAGTGACTGTGCTGGCATGAGACAGCTCGAGTGCCCCCGTCACGGAGCTCAGCCCCTGGGGGTAGGGGTTTAGGCAGCGTGCCCCCGGGTGCCACACACTGCCCGCCAGCCCCGGGTTGCACCCCGCCCCCCGCCCTCTTGGGATAATGGGGCCTCTCTCACACTTGGAGAGACTCTCCGTCCACCCACCCGCCTCTGCCCCAAACAAGCCCAGCACCGAGGCCCAGCACGGGCAGGCCTGCTCGGTTCACAACGATGTTCCCGCCACGTGGAACAGACGAGAGGAGAGTGGGCTCAAGCCGTCTGTGTGTTGGAGCCTCTTATGCTCCAGAGACCTGGGGGGGCAGGAGAGGGGACCAGTGGGGCTGATGGGGACGGGAGTGCAGGGCTGGGCTGTTGGGGATGGCGGGGCAGGGGCCAAGTGAGCCTGGTGGCAATATAGGGGGCAGGGGGTTGGCAGGAATGACAGGGAGAGGGCAGGGGTGGTGGGAACAGAGGAGCAGGGCTGGCAGGGGTGTCTGGGACAGAGGGGTGGGGCAGGGCCAGTGGGGATGTTGGGGATGAAGTGGAGCAAACTCCCCGCCCCCAAGCCAGAGAATTCCTGTCCTGAGCCCAGGACTGCAGCTGGAACAAGCTCGTCCCTGTTAGAGACCCAGGGCTCTGAGTGTGGGGAACCGGCCCTGGCAGAACAGTGCTGGGGGCATTGCTGCCTCTGCAGAGTGCCGGGCCCGGTGGCTGCCGGGGTGGGGAGACGGATACCAGGAAGCCGTGCACAGAGGGCACTAGCATTCCCGGAGATGCTCTGAGCCACGTGTGCCGCTGCCTGCCTCCAGACGCGCTCGCGGCGCAAAGGCTCCGTCCCAGCGCACAGGGCCAGCAAAGGAAGCCGTTTATCCTCCCCTGTCGCTGCCCCGCTTCCTGGGGATGGAGCCCAGAAGGAAGCATGGCAGCGCCACAGCAGGCAGCCACCCGGAAATGCCATCTCCCATCCCCAGGCCAGCCGGAGCCAAGGGACTGCCACTGCTTGAATGCCAGTGCACAGCGGGGATCTGGCATCTCAGCCCTGACAGGAGCAACTGCTTCTTCATCCCCCTGCTCAGCACCCTCTGGTGCCAAGCACCCCCCTTGATCTGCTTCTCCTCCCAGCCCCTTTCCCGCTGGCAGTGAATAGTTGGCTTCTCCAGCAAAGGGACTGTCCCAGAGATCGGGTCCAACATTTCAGGCTATAAAACCGCTAATTCCAGAGGGAGCTCGCAGCCAATTGGTTGCAGGAAGCCCTCTTCTGCCACATTTTAACCAGGCCTGAGGAAATGGTCCACGCTGGGGGTCTGCCTGAGGCTGAGTCTTTGGGGAAAGTTTCAGCTAAAACGATTCAGTCATTAGCTTAGGGGGAAATGTGTTATTTTGCCCCCGTTAAAGCAACGCATACACGAAGGGCTTTGGAGCAGGGCTTTGAGATTTGGCCGAGGGGTTGCCGTGGTCGGAGTCATGTGCCGTTTGCTCACCCTGTGAAAACCAACCCCAATTTGGCCAAGCGATAAGCCTCTGAAAATCTCTGTTTGCAAGAGAGACGTGGTGGAGTTTGGGAGCTAAATTCCCCAAAGAGGGCATCTGCATTGAGCATGTTCCACCCCTCGCAGCTCCTACACAGTGACCAGGTGACAGCTAGAGGCCATCCCCGAAGGAGCATGTTCCCGCCTTTCCCAGCAATTGTTGCTGCAGACATGAGCGGCCACTGTGACATCAAGCGGGCTGACCGAGGACAAGGATACTGTACTTAGACCATGCTCCAGTGCTAGGCAAGAGGGGAGGGAGGAGACTCTACTCCCACTGAGGCAGGGAACCGCCTAACACTGGAACCAGGGTCTCTGGCTTGGTTTTGCAACTCAGCCTGGTTGGACTTAAAGCGCCAGCGCTAGCTCTGAGAAGTAAATGAACGTCCTGCCTGGCAGGTAGCGGGTGGGGTGTACAACTACCCAGGAGGAGGAGAAGGCAGGAGAAACAGCTCAACACACTTGTGTCCTCGTGTGAGAGCCCAGCTGCTGCAGACTGTAGAGAGGGGTTTTTCCCTTTGCTTGCCCAGGGCTGCTGCTCCTCACAGCCTTCCTCCTCCACATCAAGCTGTCCAGGATGGGTCCGGCCCGGCTGGTCTGTGACAACCGGCTGATCCTGAAATACATCAGCGAAGCCAAGGACATGGAGAAGAGAGTGGTAAGGGGCCATGTGCAACCCAGCTAACCAGGAGTCCCCCCCCGCCCCCACACTAGGGCCTGTACTCTGCTCCCTACGGTGCCCCCTGCTGGGAGAGGCTGGGACTGGCACATTGGGAGCTACTCCCACCGTGGGTGCTCTTGCCCTGCTCCCTACAGCACCCCCTGCTGGGGCTGCTGGAACTAAAGAGGAAGGAAAGGCTGGGAAGTCTCTTGCCTGGCAACCTGTGTTGCACAGCCCCAGCAATGCCGCTGTTCCACCTAACGGAGGCTGTGCTAATTCCTTCTCCTGCCCCCAGTGCTGGCCTCAGAGGCTGGGCCCCTGCTTGTCCAGCTGGCATCTCACCCAGTGCTTTCTGCCTCCTCTCCCTGCAGAGCCAGTGCCAGGAGCTGCCCCCACTAACCCAGCCCCTTCCACTGCCCCTG